CTGCCAGATCTAGGTGGGAAAAGTTTTAAGAAGGGAGAAATTTGGCAATCTTGACAAGCTAATAACAGGCTTTTGTTAATCTCACAGATCAGTTCTAGAAAGTTAGAACCCTGTGGGTGAGAGAACATGTTGTTGCGGCAGATCGCACTTAGATGCCTTTGGTAACTGAGTGAGTCTTTATTGTGTAAGAGGTGGTAATAACTAAAAGTAATTTTAGTATACGTGTACATTTATAAATGTAGTATCTCTCAAATAATAAAGGCAAGATTGCCAAAATTAAAAAAAAAAAAAATAAAAAAAAAAAAATAAAATAAAATAAAAGACTTTATTAATATAACAAATCCTGCATATAACAATAAATCAGAAACAAGTGATACACCTCAGAAAAAAGAATCATTGTTTGATAAAGATGAAGAAATGATGGATAATGAAGATAATAAAACCTTAAATGATTATGAATTTCAAAACCAAAATGAAAGTATTGAAGAATAGTTAAACCAATTGGAAATACTAATATGAAGGATATTCTTTCTTTTAAGTGAAAGAAACTTATTAGACATAGCCGCATTGAGAAAAAAAATAAGGAATTGAAACAACAAGTTCGAAACTTAAAAAGAAAAGTAGAAGTACTTGAAGAAAATCAATTAGTGAAACAAATATTAAATTATAATCACCATGACTTACAAAAAAGACAAGCAACCACTTCATGATACCAAGTATTTCATAACCTTCAATTTGACTACCCCAAATTCGTAGAAGCTCTAAAAAAGGCCCAAACATTGATTCAATATGCACTAACTGAAACAGAGTTAGATACTCTACTACCTTATGACAAAGATCTTCATAGATTCTGAGAATTTTCAAAAAAAAATTCTAAAGGATCAGACTAAAATACTTATATAATAATAAATATATTGAATATATGAAAGAAAAAGTTATATAAACACGGACAAAATTTTTAAGAAACAAAACAAACAATTTTATAACATAATATACTAATGAAAAATATTAAAAAAGCAACTATAGTATGTACAAATTGTCAATTAAAGAAAGTACATTGTTTAAAATATCAAGAAAATACTTGTCTACATTGTTCAAAGAAATATATAGATTGTGTATTTATTTACTGCAATCTAAAAAAGAACCAAACAAGAAAAATAAAGAAACAAGTAATCATGGAAATATACAAGAAGGAAATTATTAAGATCGTAACCACTGATCGAACAATATCAGTATTCAATATAATAATAACTTGGGTAAGCAATGCCAATCTTTTGATAGGGGTAAGCTATTTTGCTCACTTTTTTCAAAAATTTTGTTGAAAGTACAAGTGGGTGATAGTAAATAGTATTGACCTAGTACTTTTTTTTAAGGAAAGTATATATTTCTTCAAAAGTAGTAGAACAAGTAGATCTGAGCGTACTGCTGCTCTCTTTTTTAGTAAATAATAAACTCTGAACTTGTTGGCAAGTAGCATATGAGAACTACTTCTAAACAACAAGTGCCATCCCTACGGTGAGTGATAAGCTCTAAACCTATTAGCAGATAGCGTATGAGAACTATCTCTAAATAATAGATGCCGGTTTATAGTTTCTGTCAGCTTTATGTCCTTTTTCTCAAACATATTTTACTATTTTTGTTAAAATTTTGGTTTTGAAAAGTTGGTCTGATGGATCATTGGAAAGAGTTTAATAACTGTTTATTTTATTTTCTTTTTGTTGTAATTTCATTAATTCGTTATATACATATTTTGATAGTTTAGAGTCATGATGGTTTTTTAGATTTTAGATAATCTTGATTTGCTTGAAGAGTTTTGGTTATAGTAATAGGGTTCTTTTGGGTCCTAATTAGTGATGTTTTATCTTCTGTAGAGTTTTTTTTGTTTCAACAATTTTCTTTGTATTCTTCATATTGGTTCATAATAGATACATTTGGTAGTTGTTCTATTTCTTCTTTAATTATTTCATATACTGTCCACCAACTATTTTGGTTTTTTCTTTGTATTTCATTTTCTTGAGTAGGGTGTACTTTTCCAGATTTTTCGTTATATTTAGTTACTTTACAAATTTGGCCCTGGTATATTATATAATCATTGTACCAAATATTTTGTTTTGCTACTGTATCTGTTTCTTGATTATATTCTCATTTCCATAATTTATAGTCTATATCATTTTGCCATTTTTCTAGTTTTACTTTAGCTTCTTTTTGTATTTCTGTTAGTCTTTTTTGCATTTCTTCAAAACATTCTAGACATGTTCTTCTTAATAAATCTTTAGGTGAATAAGTATAATAACATTCTGAATATAATTGAGTTAGTCCTCTTTTTTCTGTTATTATCATAGTGTTAGTTTTGGTTGCATCTATAGGATAGTCTTTTTTCTTTTGTCCTTCTTGTTAAAATAAGGTTTCGAGGGCTTGACTTAAAGATGTTTCTATTACTTCATATATGCTTTCGTCTTCTGAATAAAGAGTTTCTTCTCTATAATATTCTTCTATAATATCATAGTTTTGGTAATTATACTTGTCAGTAATAGAGTTAAATTTCATTTGTCTTATTATTTCTTGATTTTTGGGAGTGGTTTATTCTTCTTGTGAGTGGTTTTTTAGAAATTTGTAGAGTTTTAATATTTTTGACTCATTCATGGCTTCATTATTATATATACTTCTAGTATATTCTTGAATTCTTCTTGTTACTACTGCTCTCGTAGAATATTTATGACAATAAAACATTTCAAATGCTACTTTTTCTTCTTTGTCACAAAAATAATTATTAGTATAATCAGTTGTTATATGTCTTTTCCAATTTTCTTTTAAACAAATAGTATACTTTCTAAAGTTAGTTTTTTCTAACTTAGTTTCTTTATATTGTTTCACTCATATATCACCTATTGATAAGTGTTCTATGTATTCTTGGTAACATCTTTTGCAAACAATATAGTTTTTCAATTGTTGAGTGTGGTAGTCTAATGGATTAATATATGTTCTTTCAAGTAACAAAAATATATTCTTGGTAATAATACTATAACAGTCTCCATTGCAACAGTGATAAATATTTTTTCCAGTTTTTCTAACTTTTTTTTTACTGCATCCGCATTTTAAGATTTTATTTTCTTTAAGAAATTAGGTTATTAATTTATCTAGATCAATAAATTCTTCTTGTTCATTATATACTATTTCTAAAGTTTCTTTTGGAGTTCCTAATCATGTTTCTGGTTGGGTATCTTTTAAGCTTCCTTCTTTTGGGTCATAAACTTCTTTTGTTATGACTTGTTTTTTTTGGAATTCTTTATTTTCTTCATTAATAGTTTTTAAATTTTTATTAATTAGAATTGTATCACTAGTACAGTCACATGCTTGGTGTCCTTGTTGTTTACATTTCCAATATTAATTTTGAGAACATTTCCTATTGACGTGATGTGGCCTTGTTGGTTGCAAATTCCACAAGTAAAGCAAGATTTATTTTTCTCATATTCTTTTTCATTAAAGAAGTTTCCTTTAAGAATTGGTTTTCTTAATTAGCTTAATGGAAATCTTTTCTAACAATTATGATTCCCATTAGTTAAAGCTCTACATTTTTGGCATCGATTGTAATTTTCTTGAAAATAGACTTTTTTCTTTTTAGGTTCTTGGAGTTTAAAGCATTTATGATCTTTTTTAACTAAAACTTCACATTCAAGGCAAAATAATTGAAGTTCTTGTTCTTGTTCTTGATTCTTATCTCCTTTGACAACTGATATAAAAGTTTTCTTTCCTTTTTCTTTATTGTTTCTTTGGGGTTGTTGTTCAATATTAGGAATTCTTTCAGTAACAGATTTTTGATTCTTTTGCCTTTGCCAGTTATTAATTTTTTGATTCTTTTTTAATTTCTATTCTTTGAATTCAATCAATTTAGTTTGGTTAGGATGATTTTCTTTCAAATGATTCAGTCATTTGTTTTGGTATTCAGTAAGTTGACAAATTTCACAAGTTTTAGATTCTATTTAGTGTTCCAGGGTTTCTGTTAAGATTTGTTTTTAGGGTTTCTTAAGATTTATCTGTTATGTTTTGGATATCCTTTTAATCATTTGAATAAGTTTCTTTTATAGAAGTTTCCTATCTTGAATTATTATTGATTAACAATAAATTTTTATTCTGCATTATTACTGTTACTTGTATGACTTAGTGATTGTAAATCATTTATATAATCTGTATTATATAAATATTCTAGAAGCATGTTTCAGATGTTTTTGTCTTTATTCTGTCTTCTCCAAATTAACTCATTTAGGCATAGTTGTAGATTTTTCTTATCTCTATTTCTTGGTGATATAGTATCTTTAAATACGTGCCAGTATGCTTCTATACTATTTATGTGTATTACTTTAATCAATCCTGTTTCAGGATCGTAATCCATTTCAGTTATTCCCTTACTATAATTAATAGTATGATGTTCTATTCCAAGTTTTCTATAAATATTCTGATATCCTTTTCGTATATCTGAGTATATAATCAATTCTGGATATATATATTTCCAAATATAGTATATCAAGGTGTCTTGTGTTCTGTCCTTTACGATTGTTGCAAATAATTTCTTTTCTGGAGTTCTTTCTACTCCTCCGAATACTCATATAGCTGTTCTGTCCTTCTTTTTGTAGAATTGTGACTCATCTATTTCTACAATGATTCCAGGTTCTCCAATCTTGTCATCTATTTTCAAAATTTGATGATTGATAGATTGTCTTATTACCTAAATCCATCACATAATCGTTCTCTTTGCTAATCCTGTGAATGAACATATTGTTCTATGTTTTGCTTTTATAAGCCATAAATAGGCGATTTTTAGTACTTCATTGCTTCCAAGTTTCGAATTTATGAAAATACTTCCATTTATTAAGGATATTTTCTTCTGACAACTCCATTTAGTATATCAGAATTCCTTATTTGAGTATAACTTTATTAGTTTTAAACACTGCAAATAGTTAATTTCTTTTAGGAGTATAGATTTTTCTTGTAAGAGTTCTTTATATAGTTCTTCATTCTGAAAATATCATTCCAATTCTTGATATGTTGGTACTATCATTCTTAATTTATTTATTTTTGTTTCTTTCTTAAGATTTGTTATGATATAAGTCTTTTCAGGAGGTCTTTTTATATATTTCTCTTATCTTTGTAGATCTCTTCTTTATCTTTTACTTATATTTTTAATGTGACTGTTTGTGTTCTGTCCTTATCAATTCCCATATGTCTTGATAAATAATCAGCTACACTATTATTCTTTTCTTTAATTTGTTCAACAGTCCAATTAAAGTCTTGTAATTTAATTAACTATTTCTGTATAGTATCATTTCTAACCATTTTTCCTAAGGTGTTTGATATTTCTGTATTATCAGTTCGTACTATTATTGGTTTATTTCTAATATAATATTGCCAGTTCATTAAATAATAGTATATTGCAAATAATTCTTTCTGAGTTGATTCTCGTAATCTTTGTATTGGTAATAAGAATTTTGATTCAAATTCTATAATTTCTTCTTTCGATTTTATAGGTTCAATTTCTTTTTCTCTTTTCCTAGCATCTTTAGTTTTATAATATGCTAATTTTGAATTTATTTGTTTTAATACTGCCCCAATTCCATTATCTGAAGCATCAGTTTCTAATATCAGTTGGTATCCTTTTTTTGGATATGTCAAAGCTATAGCATTTTTTACTTTTTCTTTTAACATTTCAAATGCTTTTTGATAATCTTTATTCCAGTCAAACTTTGCATTTTTTTGTAGTAATTTATAAATAGGTTCTGCTATCTGTGCAAAATTCTTGATGTATCTTCTAAAGTAATTTATAAATCCTATAAATGATCGTACTCCATGGACATCTGTTGGTATTTTTAACTTGTTACATTCTTTGATTTTTACTTGGTTTGGGTATATCTTTCTGAATTCAACTAAATAATTTAAAATTAGAGTTGTTTTACCTAAAATTCACATTTATCTAGTTTCAGACTCATACCCACTTTTTCTATATGTTCAAATACTATTTGAAGATATTTAAAATATTCTTCTTTAGAATTACTTGCTATAGTTATATTATCCATATATACATATACAAAAGGTAGATCTCTGAATATCTTATACATATATCTCATCATATATGCAGGTGCTGTTTTTAGTCTCATAAATAATACGTTCTATTCAAATTTTCCTTTTCCTAGAAAGAATACTGTTGTGAGGTGTTTATCTACTTCTCTAAGCTTAAATTAATAGTATGCTGCTGTAAAATCTAGTGTAGAGAATATTTTATGTTTTGTTAAATTTTGTAACATAGTATTTATATGTGGTATTTCATAAGGATCATCTTCTAAATATTGATTGAGTTTTATATAATCTACTACTACTCTATATAATCTATCTTTCTTTTGAATAATAACTAGTGGTGATACTCATACTGATTTTGATGGTCTAATAAAATCTTGTTTTCTTAACTCTTCAAATAATTTATTTGCTTGTTCTATTTTATCTTCAGAATATTGTCATGGTATTCATGCTTTATCTTGAAATAGTATTTCCTTTTCATCACATTTTAATATTAAAGTTATAGGTTCAAAGAACTTCTCATTAAATGTAGTTGCTTTCTCATTTTTTCTTCGAAATATATTAATAAATTTCTTAAATAATAGAGCTATTTGAGTTTTATATTCTTGTGTAGTATTTTTTATCAATACTTCATATTGTTCTTTTTTAGTTTTTTCTTTTTCTTCAGGTTTTATTTCCTATTGTTTATCTTTCTCTTTTGGTATTTCTGCATTGTATATTTCTATTATTCTGGTTACTTTTTCAAGGTTACCAATATTATATTTTACTGGTATTAATATAGATTTATCTGCATAGTTAATTATTCTTATTTTGTTATCATTAATTATTCTGTTCTCCACGACTATTCCATTTTGGCCTAAATGGATTGGTGTTTGTATTAAATAATTTTCTTTTTGAGATATATTAATTGCAGTTCATATATATGGTCTGAGCATATATTCTTGATTAGTATAATATGGTATTTCTGTACCTAATGTTGGTATGATATATTTTCATATTTCATTCAGTATATAAGCTAGTTTATGATGTATTATCATTTTATAGTTTTTTGCCAATTGTGGTTAATATTGTGATAATTCGATATTGAATATTTCTTTTTCAATGTATAATGTTTTGTTTGTAGTTGTGCTTTTATTACTTTTTGTATCTATTTCATCATTATCGTTACTGTAATATTCTTCTTGGAATTGTAATTGTTCTCCTTCAATAATAGTTTCAGATATTGATACTTGTTTAGTTGATATTCCTTGATTTTGTCTTTCATCAAATGAATCTTGTTATTTCTTATAGAATTTATTATTTTGTTCTTCTTTATAAATATTTGTTATTGTTTGATCTTTTACTACATTATGTCTTAAATCTGAATCTTGTTATTTTCTAAGTATATTTTAGTTTGGAGATTTCGAAGATTGTTAAACCATTTTTTGAGACTTTAGATTGTTTCTGGATTCATAAATATTACTCCTAGTTTTGTTTGACCTGGTGAATAATATTCTACTTGTCCCAACATATTGGTTTTGACAATATCTTTATTATTAGTTTTGTTATTATTTTCTAGTTCCATACTAGATACACTTGAACTTGATGTTTTTGGTTGATAATTCTTTTGATTGTTATATAATTGTTGATAATAGTCATCTTCTAATTCACTACTATTTTGTAAACTTCCAGATCCTGATCTGAATCTTGGTTTAGTAATTCTGATTTTTTTATGTATTTTTTCTATTAATTCTTTAGGTACTGTTTCGAATATTATTTCTGAAGAATTTGCTATAAGGTTTCATATTTCAGTAGTTTTTATTATATCTAGGTTTTCTTGTTTTACTCATGCTATTAAAAAATCTATATATTTCTGTTTAGCATTTTTTTTTATTTCTTTGGTAGAGTTTATCTCAAATATTTCTAATAAGTTTTGGATAATAACTTGTCTTCTAGTATTGTCTTCTTTCTTGAACTCATCTAGAGTCATGTTCAGTATTCTATCTATTTCTCCTTGATATTTTAATTCTCGTTCTTGTACTTCTTCTTTTAGATATTGTTGTGTTAAATATTGTTGTTTATCCTAATATTCCATAAAGGCATATATTTTTTTTTATCTGTCATCATAGCATTTTCATTTTATATTTCTGATAGTAATGTTGATATCTCTTGAATCATATCTTTGCTTCTTATTTATTTATTCTATTAACTTGGTTATATTGCATTTCAATATTTATTACTTCTTCTAGTAAATTTGCTAGGTCTTTTTGTAATGCTTCTGAGTCTTTTTCTATATGTTCTTTTGATTTGAATTTTTTTTTTTCAAATCTCCTAATAAGTGTCCAAAGCTTGGCGAAGCTGGTGTAGGTGGTGATGTTTTCATTTTTATTAGTTTTGTAGAATATTTATTTAAGACTTTATTGACTTTGTCTACTATTCTAGATACTTTATGCATTGTCATATTTCATTGAGATTTTGCTCTTTTTGGTCATAATGGTTTTCTTGACCTTGTAATATCATTTCTGCTAATTGTCTAGTAATATAGTCTATTACTTGTATAGGTGATGATTCTTGCATCCCGCTTATATATATTTCTTGAGATGTAAATAGGTATTTTATTCCTAATATTGAATCCTATTTTGATAACTCATCTAATCTTTTCTTTAAAAATTGATCCAATTCTCTATCGGATAGTAATATATCATTAGCATAATATCATAATATTTATATCTCATTTATTTGTTCTTTTATATCCCATTCTGTTTTTTGTAATGTTTCCAATATTGCAGTTTTTG